CTGTGTAGCGTCTGGACCAATCAAACACACAATTTTTCATTTGATTTAACAACTGAATGAAAGTTTAGCTAAACTTTATGTTCTTTGATTGAAGTAACTTTTTTTTAACACATTTTAAAATTTTCACAAACAAACAAACAAATGGGATGGATTGAATGGTTGGATGTATATCATCCAAACGTTCTCACACAACTTTCAAAAAGAAAAAAAAAAATCCTGTAAACTACATGAAGGCAAATCCATTAATGCAAATTCCAAAAGCTGTTAGCATATTGATGAATGATACTCAGATCTGCTTGTCATGATGATGATAATTGAAATGTCAGATTCATAATGCATCTCTTGAGATGATACATTTTTATCTTGGGTCATTAATGTGTTTTTTGCATCAGACCTTTACAGTTCCCCAATGGAAAGGCACTTTTAAGTGGTCTAGGTGGCCCTTGAACTTTCCCCTTTGCCATTTTTTCTGTCTGACTAGATATAGCTTAGTCTCATATAGCCATATCAGCATAATGTCTGGTCCAATTTGCAGCTTATTCTGTCCAAGAATACGTTTTTTTTTTAAATGTTATTTTAGTGGCTGGAAATAACTCATACTACAATAACAGACAGATGTGTGCAGATGTGATTCTCATTGTCTTTCATAGATTTGATGCCACTAACCTGGCAGACTTTGGCAGACGGGCTTGGAAAGGATGGTAGAAGTGTTTAGGAAACCTGCTGGTACCTCATATTTGTATATCTAGGTAACATTTTTATTTATATCATACCTGAAGGTTTATTTATTCTCTACACATATACTGAATAATGGTACATCTCCAAGGTAACATATGCAGAGATTATTAAGGTTGCTATGGCAGACGTGCAGAGCTGATCGAAATAACAGGCTTTAGTCCACTGCATTTGATAATCAATTTGATAATCAATTGTTATATTTTCATTTGGATGTTGACCAATGAGCAATAAAACAGAATGCAGTGTCTAATATGACTTTTTAATGCCACATACCTACAAACCTAGATAAATTAGATGTATTCTCTAGATAAATGGGCATCATAGGCTTTACTGGGATACTCATCCCTGTCAGTGTAGTTTTAAGGCACAGTTCAATAACAAACTGTCATGTTGATTTATGAGAAATCTGCTCACAAAAAAAATAAATAAATAAAAATAAAAAACAAAAATGCTTTGCTGTGTGAAATTAAGGGGTACTGTGATTATTTTGGAAGTGTTCCATACTCCACTTAAATTACATGTGCAAACAACCTGAAGCATAACTATTAAATTATGAAATCAGTGTGTGTTAACATTAATAAGGTGGTGCACTAATATATATATATATTACTGTATGTCCACCAGGGTCAGAAATTAACTTATCCATTAAGAGGCCATACTTTCCCCCTAGAACTGATTTCCAAGGACATTTGTTACCTAGTGTGTGTGTGTGCTCTGGCATATATGGTTTATGAGGATACAAATGTGTATAATGACATAGGCAATACAAGGTATACATTGTTTATGAGGACACTTCCTGTGTCCCCGTAAATCACATACTAAATGGTGTTTTTCTGAAAATTTAAAAATGCAGAAATTTTTGTGTGAGGGGAAGGTTTGGGATCAGGGTAAGGGGATAGAAAATACAGTTTGTACAGTATAAAAACCATTAAGCCTGTGGAGAGTCCCCAATAAACCTCATATGGGACCTAAGCAGGACGCACAAATACCTGGCCATCCACCTGAGCTAAAAGAAAATGTGATCCATCAGACCAGGCAACCTTCTTCCATTGCTCCATGGTCCAGTTCTGACACTCATGTGCACATTGTAGTCAGTGTTTTCAGTGGTGGACAGGGGTCATCATGGTCACTCTGACCAGTCTGCAGCTATGCAGCACGATATGCAACAAACTGTGATGCACTGTGCATTCTGACACATTTCTATCATGGCCAGCGTTAAGTTTTTCAGCAATTTGAGATAGTCGCTCTTCTGTGTGATCAGTCCAGATGGAGTAACCTTCTCTCCCCATGTGCATCAGTGAGTTTTGGCTGCCCATGACCTTGATGCTGGATCACTTTTGACAGGAACTAACCTCTGCATACTGGGAACATCCCAAAAGACTTGCCATTAGATGCTTTGAACCAGTCGTCTAGTCATCATTATTTGGCCATTGTCAAAGTCACTCAGATCTTTCTATTTCACCCATTTTTCCTGCTTCCAACACATTAAATTAAATACTGGACTGTTCACTTGCTGCTTAATATATTCCAGCCCTTCACAGGTGCCATTGCAACGATATAATAAATGATGTTTACTACACCTGTCAGTGGTTTTAATGTTGTGGCTGATCAGTGTAAATATAGAACATTTGTAGTTCTCCTGTGCTTCACGTATGCTCACTGTGGGACCTATCGAGAGTGTTTTAAGCGACTTTTCTAAAAATTCACAAATCTACTGTAAATGTGCTCTTAGATAGCACCCAAATGTGTTAACTTCACAAAATAGTGAGTTAAACATAATGTTTCTCCTAAGATATTTTTTCCTCACATTTTCCATCATAAATAGCTACATTTTCATATGAGATAAAACAACTAAAGGATAAGTGAAGAGACAGAGTAATCATCACATTAAGTTACTCAGGCTAACTGTTTCTGCAAATAACACATGACAAGAAGATGTAAATGAGTAAAACATGTGCAAAGAGGGATGATGGTGAGCAGACAAAGTCTGAAAGGTGCTAATGATAAGATACATTCAGAATATTCACATAACCACCCACACACAGCTGTGCAGATATCACACACACACACACACACACACACACGCGCACACACACACACACACACACTTTATTTCAAATCATTTCAGTGATTTTAAATGGTGACATCTGGCCTGTTATGTGTCGTTGTGTTTCCTTCCCACCAGAAAGTTTGAGTCTAACTTCACTTACCTGCACTTTATGTACAAATTTGTCCCCAGAAGTTAGCTAAACATGTCAAAACCTTGCTTGGGGAATTTGAAAATGGTTCAAATGATTCAAAACAATTTATACACTAAATTAGTATTATTTTAATTCTAAAATTGCAAAGTATAGGCTATGTCTAATATCTATAATACACTGAACAAAATTATAAACGCAACACTTTTGTTTTTGCCCCCATTTTTCATGAGCTGAACTCAAAGATCTAAGACTTTTTCATTTAAGTACTGAAACAACTAAAACTAAATAAACAAAAATTAATAAATATAAATTAATAACAAAACTATATAGTCATATAAAAAATTAAAAACGACAACATGTTTTAAACTAAAATCAAAAACAGAAATAGAAAAAAAATCGAATAAATTTTTTTTTACAAAAACTATAATAGTATATCAGTGACGCTAAAAGAACACTGCTTTGGTGGAGCACGAAAGGAGACGCTTAGCAAAACATTCACTGGAAGTGAATGGGGACCAACAGGCTGTCAACTTAAAATGACAAAAGGCACCATAAAATGTATTTGTTATTGACTCATGTCTTGCAATTCTCTTGATGCACCAATTTTGAATATGCACATATTCAAATCAGGTAAATGAGATTTGAGAGCTACACTGAATGTTTTTAGTAAATAGAATAATACTTTGGTCTTTTCCTCACACAAAACCATTAAAGGAATATTATGGATTTTATGTTGCATGATATTATGAAATATTATGCAAACAAGTTGTACTATGAAACCTCAACTGTTTTGTTTTGTTTTGTTTTGTTTTGTTTTGTTGAGTGAGTGATTGATTGATTGATTGACTGATTCTTAAAATCAGAATAGAACATGATTGAGATGACTTGTGAGTGAGAAAATGAAGACAGAATTTTTTCTTTCTTTCTTTTTTTTTTTTTTTTTGGTGTGTTATTTGTTTTAAATCATTTCAAATATCAGTATTCAACGTTTTATG